GCACCGGCTCGGAGCGCTGTGCGGGCGCTGAAACCTCAGCGGGGCTTTTCTTGCTGTTTTTATAGCTTATTGTGAACGAAAAAAGCCAGAACCTGCGGCGCCTGCAAGCGCAGCGAAACGAGCTGAACGCCAAAGGTACAGCTGCTCTCGCCTCCTTCCGCCTGGTCCTCGCCACGGGGCCAGCTCTGGGCTAGTGTGTCCAGGGCTGCTGTTGGGAGGCTCCGGCTCCTTGCTCAGTTTCATCTCCCGGGTGTTTTGCTTTTCAGTTTTCCCTTTTTGTTTGCTCTTGCGGTTAGAGGGAGGTGGGCACTTGCTGGGTCTGCCCCGTCCCACGTCTGTCCGGGTCCCCAGGGTGTCCCCAAGGGCTCTGTGGGGTGCCTCTGCCACCTCCACGGGGCCAGGGTGCCCTCCGGCCGCGCTGGAGGCCTGTGCGGGCAGCAGGGCAGTGCTGCAGCTCCCCCCCTGCCTGCAGTGCGCCTGCTGCGCGAGGAGCTGCAGCTGCTGCAGGAGCAGGGCTCCTACGTGGGCGAGGTGGTGAGAGCCATGGACAAGAAGAAGGTCCTTGTCAAGGTACGGAGCTGGGGTCGGGTCGAGGCCACGGGGGGCGCATGTGGTAGCGCAAGTTCTGGGAGGGCTGAAACAAGGAAGAAACGTGAAGCGGGGGCTGCTCCTCTGGAGGAGACCCAGGAGCAGCTCCTGGGCCCAAACCTTCCTCGGGCAGCTGGGGAGCACCCGGCTCGGGGCCCCCAGGGGCATCAGGTGGTGGTTGAACCAACTCCGAGGAGCCACGGCGGGTTTAGACACACGATCTTCTCCCCTAAATAACTCGTGGTGGCAACTGCTGTGTTCCAGGTGCACCCGGAAGGGAAGTTTGTGGTGGACGTTGACAAGAACATCGACATTAATGATGTGAGTGTGTCCAGGGAGGTCATGGCTCCCGTTGGGTGGCCTGGTGCTTCCTGCCACGCTCCCCAGCCTGGGGTGGCCCGGGAGGGCCGTGTCTGGGCCAAGCACTGATGTCCCCCCGGCCTTGGTGCAGGTGACACCGAACTGCCGCGTGGCCCTGCGCAATGACAGCTACACCCTGCACAAGATCCTGCCCAACAAAGTGGACCCTCTTGTGTCGCTCATGATGGTGGAGAAGGTCCCCGATTCCACTTACGAGATGATCGGGGGTTTGGACAAGCAGATAAAGGAGATCAAGGAAGTGATCGAGCTGCCCGTGAAACACCCCGAGCTCTTCGAGGCCCTGGGCATTGCCCAGCCCAAGGTGGGTGCTGCCCAGAGGT